CAAGAGACAAAAAAAAAAAAAGGGGAGAGAGGGGGGGGAGAAAAAAACCCGCTTCCCCCACCCCCCCCCCCCCCCCCCCAAAAAAAAAAAAAAAAAAAAAAAAAAACTAACGCATGCAAACACACATGGGAGCAGATGAGGTCGATATGGCTCACTGCCCAGGGCGTCACAGACCTGAGGGGCAGGCTGAGCACTTGACAATTATGTTTTAAATAGTATCTCAATTGTGCCCTGAGCAAGTTTTCTATTGCTTCTTTGCATGTCCTGTCGACGCTAACTTGCAGCGCTGTGCTTCAGTGAAATTTAATTGGCTTGCGATTTATAAAGCACGTAGACGTTATTGTAAATATTAACTCCTGTTATGCATATATATGTTCTGCCACCTTCACAACGCCTCATGGTCAGTTTTTTATTTATTCTGCCATTTTGTGAGGAAGCGTAGTCAGTTGAGATGAAATCCATCTCAACGTCCATCTCTTTTGTTCCACCTACCCCCCCCCCCCCCTCTTTCTTCGCGCGTAATCCAACACCGGCGTTTGCTTTTGTTTTGCACGGCTGCAGGAACCCGTTGGAGCCGTACTCCAGAGCTCTACGGCAAATTCAGGAAGCATATGGAAGAGGTTTGTGAAAGGGATCGCGGTAGAGAATCCATATAAGATCTGTCAAAATGAGCTAGCCTCGTGTCTTTTCTGCCAGTGCAGCCAATCAGATCAACTTGCCTCTTGTGACGTCACTGATTCAAATACACACAACAAGGCAGGGTTAACTATCTTGCTCTTTATATTCTGTAAAAATCGCACAGTGAAAATTTAGTCGTCGTTGCTGGGCTCGGTTCATATCATCAGCGTGCATTTGTTGGCGATAAGAAGTTGCTATCCAGTGGTTTCCTTAAGTAATCTGCATCTGAAACCCAAATCTGGACTGGATCAATTTACACTTCACAGTTGTTCTAAAAAAAAAAAAAAAAAAAAACAAACAAACCAACCACACAGACTGCGGTCGGGCACCATTAAAACAAAGTAGAGGAACGACATGAGCCGCATCAATTTATAAGACCTGCCAACACCAGCGATGTGCCAAGAACTCTCAAATTAGACGAGGAACATCCAAAAACTCACACAGTCTCCTATTTTCTTTACAACGTGCAGAGAACAAGTGGGAAAGTGAGAAAGTTTTAACAGAGGTGACCAGATCGGGAGAGATGGGGTGGGGTGGCACATAAAAAAAAAAAAAAAAAACACAACAATGCTCTCGATGAATGTCGCAACTCACTTAAACGGATATTGGCCTTAAATTCGTATTTACATGCGACGATATACGCAGAAGAAACCCCCCCTTGGCCCCCCTGGTGGCGCCGCTGGAATAAGAATGATCGGCAGCTCCGCATAAAGACGGAGGAATAACCTCCCCGATGCTGGAGGGAGGGAGAGAGAGAGAAAGAGAGAGAGAGAGAGAGAGCGAAGCTGGCGAGCATCCGTCTCCGTATAACGATCCCTCATGCTGCCTGCGCTCATACGCGTGTGCCTGTGCGCGTGCGTGCGTGTGTGTGTGTGTATGTGTGTGTCACACTTCGCCTCGCGGAGAATTAATGAGATGTGAGAGCGGTGCGAGGCGAGAGGAGGGGAGGCGGCGGCGTGTTTGTGTGTGAGCGAGTGCACATGTGAGGAGGAGGAGAAGAGGGAGGGAGGAAGGGGAAGGGGGGTGCCAACGACAATCTGAGTCACAAAGAGAGGAAGAGAAAGAGAGCGCCGAGAGGAAAGGAAGGGGGGAGGGAGAGAGGGAGACGGTGGAAACCTGAGAGAGAGGAGGAGAGGAGCAGGCGAGGAGAGTAATAAGATGGAGCATGTGAGGAAGAAAATGTGAGTAAAGGTGAGATGAGAGAAAAAAAGCAAATGAAAAAAGAAGCTAGAAAGAGGTAGTATAGGAGATGTGTGAGAGAGGAAGGATTCGCAAAAAAAAAAAAAAAAAAGCCAGAGTAGCGTCTGCCAGAGTCGCAGAAAGGAACAGTCGGGGAAGAAAATGAGTTCAATTTAAGAAAAGAGGGCCGAGATTCGGGGGAGATGAAGTGTAAGAGCGTAAAACGTGGAAGAAGAAAAAAAAAAGAGAGCGAGAGAGATAAGGAGGGAGGATGAGCCAAGTGAAGCGTGTTACCTCGTATCCGAGCCGCGCCGCTCTCTGAAGCAGAGTCTCGCCGGCGTTCTTGTTCACGATCAGCCGCCGGGCCTCCGGCGGGATGGGGCGCACGGCGGAGGGCTCCAGAGGGGGGGTCCTGTGCAGCCCCGGCGGCACCTCCGGCGGAGCTCTGACGTTCGCCTGGGGCAGCAGGGCGGGCGGGCAGAGAGCGGCGGGGGAGCAGGGCTTCAGCGGAGAGCAGGGATAGTGATTAGGAGAGGCGGCTCTCTTCCTTGGAGCGCTGCGCTGCTCGGCCAGCTGACGGGAGACGAGGAGAGGGAAAGTGTGAGGGACACTCAAGGGCACGCGGACGAAACCACAGAAATGTAAAGAGAATTATGCATACGTGTGCATAAAAACATTTAAAAAAATAGCCACAGCATGACACTTTTATTTAAAAAAAAAAAAAAAAAACTACAGGTTTTGTAGCCCCAACCTCTGAAGCTTTCAAGACTTTTCTAAATTGCGTTTGGAGGTTACACCGTCCATTAATGAGAAAGAGAGGGGGGGGGGGGAGATCTTTCACAGCGAGCGTTCACACCCTGAACGCTAAAGGCCGCCATGCCCCTTTCCTTTAATCGCAGAGCCCTCACAAAGCAGTGGGAGCTGCCTGCCCGTTCTTGTGTGAGTGCGTGCGAGCGGCGCGTCGCCCTCTCAGTGGAATTCCATGTCGGAGCAGCTGTCAGCCTGAGGAGGAGCAGGGGGGACGGAAGCAGCACAGGCGGAAAAAAAAAAAAAAAAGAGCCTAGACTCCTCTTTTTTTCCCTCGATTTTCCCCTCTGCTCCTTTCCCTCCCCTTCTCGTCCTCCTTCTCCTCCTTATGAGCGTCATGTGCTCCACCATGGCTGCCACATTCCTCACACTCACTCAGGACGCAGCGAGATGCATAATTGCTCCGGGGTTTTGTTGTCAGGAATGCTCACCAACACGCAGGACACTCACATCGCTGGCTCACACGCAAAAAAAAAAAAAGAAAAAAAAAAACACACACACACACACACACACAAGAAAATAGCCCCGATGACACACGCTCGATATTAAGGCCAGAGAGAAGCGCGCGCGCACATACACACACACACACACAAACACAAGCGAGCGAGCGGGGCCTCCTCAGGGAGTCGCAAAGGGCACGGGGAGGTCAAAGCTCCAGCAGCCCTCTAAACATTGTAAACATACTTCCTTCCTCTGTCCCTCCCTCCCTTCCCCAGCTGCATAATGAGAGGCGCCGACAGGCATACAGAAACACACTCCGCTGCTGCAAAACATCCAGACGGCCGCATCGCAGCCCGACTCCCCCTATCAGCACTCACCTTGTCGTCCTCGGCTGATCCCAGATCAGGCGCCGAGCGCTGGCCGGGGCTGGTGGGCGCGGCCTCTTTCCTTTTCTCCCGCTCCCTCTCTCTGTCTCTGTCTCGCTGGCCCGTGTGCTTGGTCTTGCACGGCCGCTTGCCCTTGGGTTTGTCCGTGTCACTATGGCGACGGGGTTTGAGGGGAGGGACGCCTCCCACGCAGAGCTCCGGGGCCGGCGATGGGGGCCCCCTCTTCGGCTCCTTAAGGCCGCGGTCACCTGAGTAGAGGCTCGGCTGGAGTGGCCTGTCCTTCGGCTGGCTGGGGGGAAGGGCGGGAGCAGCTACTCCTGGAACGGGAGCAGAGGGAGAACAGGGAGTAAGAGCTGGTAGAGGAGGAGGAGGACAGAAAGGTACTGCAAGGCCGTCTCCGACACGCTGCTGGTTTATTAATGAGCACTGTGAGCTGTCTGGGAGCACACGAGTCTACCCAGCCAAGAAAATATATATATATACCAATTACAAAAAAAAAAAAACCCACAGAAAGAAATTATTCACATCCTTTTCATTTTTACTTTATTGACGTTACAACAAACTTAAATGTACTTTATAAGGATTTTCCATGACGAACCAACACAAAGCAGTTGTCGGTGTTCTGCAAGTCCCTTTTGCAGTAAAACAGTTTCTTGGTGGAGATTTCTATAACAACTTTCAACATCTAGCCACTGACATTTTTGTCCCTTCTCCGTCGTAAAATACAGCGAGATGAAGAAAATCTGGAGATCAATTCAAGTTAAGCTGCAAATTTGCAGTTGACTTTAACTCACGTGGCTGTGCTTTGATCCAAACCAGGGGTGTCAAAACGTTTTGGAGTGGGCGTCAAAAAATCACTAAGTTGAACCACTCAGAAGCCGTGTTTTCTCAAATCAAAAATGCTACACTTAGTTGTAATTTTTTTTGTGTGTGTGACGTAAACATGCAATATTTTCATGACAAAGTTACAAAAAAAAAAGAACAAATTATTACTGCAGGTCCTAAAAAAACGGTGTCGGATATTTTCCTTAATGACAGAAAGATGTGCAAGTTTTCTAACTTTTTCGGTTGAATCCTTTCCATTTTACTGATTTAGGAAACGGAAACACATTAGAAGCTCCTTCTAAAGTCCTTTCTGTCTTTAGCCGAGTTTAATGACTGGGCGTTCATGTCTGTTGGGTAAAAAGTTGCTGGATGTTTGTGGCCTGACTTCAATGATATTAAAATCAAAGTAAAAAAAACAAAAAAAAAAAACATGGCTAATAAAGAAAAAGAAATACTGTGTTGTACCAAACATTTCCCCCGCAGCATGACACTGCCACCACTATGTTTCACATTGGTTTTACCACTTTGTACAAGCTACTTTGTGTTGCTGTATCACAGAAAATCAAAATTTAGTCGCAGTGAAATCACAAAGCAACATAAGCACCTATTTCCTGCAGTAAGGACATGTCTGGCTATTCAACAAACTTTGCAAGTGCGAACACAAAAATTCAAAAGCCTTGAAACATTTTAATCAGAAAGACAAACTATTATCAGTGTCTGCAGTCTGCGGTCTGATTCATGCCGCCGCGCAGCTTTTATTCGGCAAGTTTTAAATTCCACCAAATCCTTCATTTGTAGATAAAGTTTGAGAAAAGCTCACATGGAGAAATTCTTTGCATCTCATCCACGCTCGAAGAAAAAAAAACCTTGTGTAGTCAGATCATTAATGACAGTTTAAATAGTTTAACAGTGTTGGGTTTCTTATGGTAAAGAAATGCACACCCACACGCTTGGTGTTAAATCCATTTGTTGCCAGGGAGACGATATCTAAAAATGTTCAACAAAAATGACATGTCAGCGGCCAATCAAGGCTTACGGGCTGTTTTTGTGTTAAGCTTTTTTTGAATAAGGGAAAACCCTCCGTTTTAATCAGAACAGCCATCCCCTTCAACAGCACGCACCAATAAATCCCCCATTCAGTGCTCCTTGTGACTGGTCTCGAGAGGAAAAAGGAAAAAAAAAAAAAATCACTGATCACACATTAGTCACAGCGCACCTGCGCATCTCCGCCGACCACTTCCTCCTTTCATCCTCCTCACAGAGCTTGACGCAGACCAGTTGAACATTTAATAAAAAGTGTGTGGTGTGTGTGGGGGGGGGGTTCTCGTGGCTTGTACGTTTCAGCCTGTGGTCCCCAGACCCCTTCAACCTTTCTGGCTGGCAGGAGGAAGAGTCCCCCGAGCCGTTTCCTCTGCCCCACCGCTCCCGCCCCCCCCTCCCCCTCGCCTCGCCTCTCTGACTGCTCTCGGGAAATCCCCTAAAGACAGCCTGCTCAACAAGAAAGTGAAACGTGAGCCAAAGATAGATTTCCGTTACCCTAGCTGAACTCGGAGAATAAAAGGCGGCGGTTAGCGCGTCTGGTGGTTCGCTCTTACCATTAGGTAGCTTCTCGCAGCCCCACTTCCTGTTGATGTCGTTCCTCTGCGCCGCGGCCCGGTCCTCGGGCTCTGCCGCCCGGATCTTGCGCTCCCGCTGAGTTTGCGCCGGGTTTCCCGGCCGAGGCAGGGGCCAGGGCCTCTCCTGCTTGAACTGGGAGCCGTCGGGTGACGCGGCGCCCGCCGCGGGCTTGCTGAGTCGCAGCCCCTTGAGCTCAATGCGGACTTTGAGCTTTCGCACCTCGTCATCGTCGTCATCTTCGTCGGGACTGGCCTGCTCGCACTCATCTGCCGACAAGTGAAACGCGCGATGTTCAGTCTCGCGTTGCAGTGCCTGAACAGTGCTGCACGCGAGCTCGAGAGCGCCAAAAAACAGCATCAATGACAACGTCTGAGCCGCACGCTTAATATTCATGCAGGAAGGAAGGAAGGAAGGGAGGGAGGGAGGAAGGACGACTCCACAGTGGAGGAAAGAAATGAGGGAGAAACAAACCAATAAAGACCAAAGAAGCCGAGACTGGCTGCTCCAATCCGAAATTCACAAGGGATGGGTGTTTGACTTGTCTGCCAGTGCCGAGGAGAGCAAGCACGATACTGCATGCCAGACAAAAAAGAAAAAAAAAAAAAAAGGAAACCCAAACAGATGAGGCAAAAAAAAGAGAGAGATGAAAAGAGAAGGGGAAAAAAAGAGCAGCTTTGAAGAGGGCGGGTAAGCACAGCGGAGGAACAGCAGAGCTGAAAGAGAAGCGAGAAAGAATGGCTGTCCCTCTTCCTCGCTTCTCTTGCGCGGTCTGCGCTCAAAGGGAAGGATTAAACGCCCCTCGGAGCTGGCTGCCACACAGAGCGGAGCGCATGACAGTGAGTGGGAAGCGGAGGAGGCGGGTGGTGGTGCTTGGGTTAAAGACAGCATCCAGTGGTCTATTTTTTTGTTGTTGTTGTTGTTGTTTTTTTTCCCAACAAACATACAATGACTTTAAAAATGCAGAATAATAAAAGTTTTGGATTCCATTGTAAGATTTTACAAAGAACAAAACTTTTAGGTGGTGGTGGTGGTGGGGGGATCCCCAGGTAACTTAGCTGTCTTTATTTGTGTGTCGATTGCATCACAAGAGGCACAGCAATCAAGCTGTTCAGATGGCATTTGAAAAACTTTGACGGAGGGGGAACTTTTGAGACATTTTGACAAATTTATTTGACTTCCATCCCAAACTGCCCGGAAATTTTTTTCTCAAATTGCAAAATTTTTTACATTC